TTGGATCATAGAGCTAAATGTAATAGCTAAAAAGTATAAACCTTTTATTTGTAGAAAACATAGGTGAATATCTTTGTGATATGTGAGCAGCCAAAGGTTTCCTAGGTCACAGAAAGCAGTACCCCTTTAAAAGATCCAGAATTCAAGTCCATCAAAATTAAAAATTCATCATGGAAAGATACTGTTAATAAGAGTAACTAGTATTAAATGACATTTATAAAGTAGCTTTATAAAACTAGATTAATAGATGTAAGGATTTTTTCTTGTCTAATTCTGATAAAGTTCCTTGATAAGGATTTCTATAGTTTAAGAATGATTTATTTTGTCTGCTTCTTTAATCATTACAAATGCATTGTGACACTTCATGGTTATTTCTGCTTGTGAATAAAGAAGTATGACTTATCCATGTCTTGGTCCTGTGTATTGCTGGTTTGCAACTGGATTATGAAGGTAATGAGTAGAGAAACTGGAAGAATACGGAACAATTCAGAAATAGATAAATACTCGTTAAGTTGATTTTTTAAAGGGAATATTTTAGAGAAAGTCCTTTTGTTTCCTTTTGCCATTTATGAAACCTCATCTGATGGTTGGGTAGGTGAAAGCACTTCCATTTTATTTTATGCTTTTTAAAGTAACCAATTCTGAGGGGTGTACTTCTGTTACAAGCAAGGAGACTTGCCAGCACCGCAGCACTGGGTAGTCTCAAATCCTGTGTTTAACTTCCAAGATAGCTGCCTCTTTTCCAGCAGAGAGCAGTCAGCTGGACTGTGCCATTAAAACTGGAAAATATTTGTTCTGGGATCATGACTATGGGGAATTGCTCCCCTATTTAGGACTGTGGTACTATGATGCCTCATGCAGATTAATATCTGTAATTAATCTTCCTAGTTGCCTATAACATTTCAAGATATATTCAGAATTTTTCTTTTCCTGTAGAAAGATTCTTTTGTTTGGGGGGGCGGGTATTTCGCAAAATAGTTCAGAGGAAATTGATAACACAAAAAATTTACATTACCCAAGGCCTTAACAGGAATGGCCATAGAACATTTTAGTATATTTTGTGATCTTTTGTCCTTATTGTACACCTGTATTTCTGTATTTAGTCTTGCATGCCCTGCCTATACTTTGAATTAGGTTTATGTAATATATATTATTTAAAAACTTGATGTTAGGCAAATTTTCATTTTTGTATCAGTGGTGACTTACAGGAAACAAACTGCTGCTACTATTGGGAATTCTGAAACTACCTTAGTTCCTTGTAAAATCATTGACAGGTTTGGAGGAGAGGGCTCAAGTGTGAGTCTCCAGAAAAGTGTCCCAGCAAAACATATGCAATAGTATTGGCCTGTCAGGGGAACTGTTACAGTGAAAGAGATCTACTGCAACTATCTGTTAACATGCAGGTTGTACACAACCTCTGCCACTTGAAGATACCTGAAGCAGCAGTCACTTGGCCTCTGTCTTTTGCCTTTCATTTCTTACATAAGCTTTTCTGCAAGGGTTTTCTGGGAAATTACTTTTCAGCTTTCTGGTCTCTGCAGCATACTAGTGAGGAGGTTGGGATTAATGCTGAATGCAAGTCCATTTACTTATACATTATTACACTCTTACACATTAAAACAAACTTCCTTTTTATATAAGTAGTACATATTTATTTTAGAGAAGTGAGAAATACAGAGGAAAAAAGAAAAATCACACCCAGTCTGTTCACAGATACAGTTAGTGTTTTCCTCAACTGTGTACATTTACATAGACATATGTATTTATTAGATGTTTTCTTTTTACAAATATGGTACAATAAATTTGTTGCATACTTTTTTCCATAAACGCAATAAATATACTTGTGAAACATCTTTTTTAGTGGCCAATTAATATTTCATTATATAGATATGCTTTAATGTGTTTAAAAAAGCCTCATAGTGAAGAGTAGAATGTATAAATACAATAGGTAAACTGGATAGTTTGATTTGGGGGATTTTATTTTTTAAGATAATGTGAATTTCTAAATCAAACATGCATATTTGTTCTTTTCCTTAATACATCTTTGGCCTAAATCTAGTGACTGATGAGCTAAAGCTTCACCACTTCTAGCTTACCTGGTACTTTTTGACTTTGATTTGATAATATAACTTCTTAACCTATATCAAGATTGTTCTAGATGCTGGAGGTAAGCGGTGAACAGGATAAAGCCCCTTGCCCTCATAGTGAGACAAACTGTCTTGTAATTTTTTCATGTAGTAGTAGAAAATGCAAAAATAGAGCAGGATAGAAAGCTGAGGTTTGACTAGATGGTCAGGGCTTTAAAGTCCTTGTTTTTGGTACCGGGGATCGAACTCAGGTCCTTGCGCTTGTGCAGCAGGCGGCAAAACCACTGAGCTAAATCCCCAACCCTAAAGTCCTTTTAAGGAGATGATCTTTACACAGAGACCTAAACAGAATTTTCTTAAGTACTGTGCCTTTTTTATTTTTTTCGATTTTACACAATGTATTTCTCAGACCTTTTCTTGTAGTACTGATAAAATATATTGACTAAACCACAAAATGAGTGGGGAAAATCTCATACAGATGTGTTTTTAAAAAATAATTTTAAACCCTCACCACGATTAAAGATGTAAACATAAGTAAAACAATGAAATTACTAGAAACATGAGATTGCTATTATGGCAGAATATTTTATTATTTGGAAATAGAGATAAGAGTTTTTTAAGTAAGAAAACATTAAACAAAAATGAGAAATACTTATTTAAAAGTTAAAAATTTCTATATAGCAATAGATGCCATGAAAACCTTGAGAGATATCAAGCACACAACACTTTGCCACACAAAATATATGTAATGTTGATATCAAAAATATAATTGATGTCTAATATACAGAGAGCTACCATGGAAGGGAAGGGGGAGGAAAAATGATAGGAACACACAATCTACAGAAGAAATTTAAATGGCAGTAACATCACAAAAGATGGTAAGTCCCACTAGTACTCCAGAAGATGCAAATAGAGATACCCTTCCTTTTTCCTCTCTCCTTTCAATCCCTTTATTTTTTCCTCCTTTTCCCTTCCTTCCTCTTCCCCCTTCCTTTTCTTTGCTACTTTCTTTTAAATAGAATACTTAGGATAAATCTTTGTGATCCTTTGCACACTTCTACCATTCTTCCTTTTAGAATGTATTGTAGAGGTGAAAGTTACATTATAGAATTGTACAGCAAAGGCACTCATGTGAAAAAGGTACCTGGATTTATTAAGCTTTGTAGGAGACACTGATGACCTTTGCTGAGTTATCAAGGAATGCATACAATAAATGGTAACCATGAGTTCTGGGATCCACTGGCTCCCTGAAGGTTGATAATTATGATTTTGATTAGAAGCTGACAAACTCTTTAGGCACTGTCTCCCTCCCAAGCACTGTCTCCTAGTGAGGTTACCATGGTCCGAGATAAGATCTTTTAGCTTATTAGTTGAGTATACGTATTGAAAATAATGAGGACTCTGGATAGTTAAGCCAGCTTAATAAAACTTGCCAGAGACCAATGTATTCCAGAAAATGCAGTTTAATTTATATGTACAATTGTAACTGCCAGCTGACTATAGACATTTTTATCAGCCTGTCAATACATTCTGTCCCTGGTAGGTAAACTTAACTAAGGAAACCAAGATCAAGAGGAAATTGGTTTTTTAGAGATACTGTGATGGCCTGTGACACATTTTGCCATGCAAGATGCCAGTCAAATCTGTCTTCTCCATTACATACCTAGTTGAAAATGTACTGCATCCTATAAGTTGCTAGAGACAAAAAGACAAAAGTTTAAACTCCACAGTCACCATTTTTCTGCTTGACATACTCCTGCTTTCCCAATGTTTTCAACTGTGTTATAATTTAAATATGTCTTTGTTTTTAACTTGGAGCTAGCATTTTAGGGGCATTCTAGAGGCTCCTTGATCTAATTTTTAAAAATGTCTCCAGATCAGAGTAGTATTTCTATAACATGTAACATTTATGTATGAGGAATTGTTGTTTCTATTCTATGCCAATATGACCTTTCGTAATGTCTTACACTGAAATAGTCTGTATCTAATTTATAAGTTTAGAGCACTTGACCATTTTCAGTGTTCTTCAACTTTGGCACTTGGGAAGACTGTGATTTTGGACTTCATTGTGAAGAAGAGCCATGAAAAAGTGATAATACCATAGTTCAGAAGAAAGGGACAGAGCTAAGTAACTGAGAAAATGCCTCCTCTTGAAGCAGATATAGTCATCTCCACAGGTGAACTAGAAAGTTTTAAACATAAGGGAGGTCATGAGAGACAGGTGCTTAATAATAAAGCAGATAGTGTTAGAGCAAATAGAAGGTATCTTGGACTTTAGATAGTTAAAGGA